TGGTCTTATCACTTTTATAATCCAATTGTCTATCCTTGATCGCATTGAAGTCTCCCACTATACAAAAGTTGTCATAATCAAATTCACTAATAGTGCTATGTAATTTTTTATAAAATTGTTTCTGGCCTTCATTGGGAGCATAGATTCCCACCAGAGCTATTTTTATTTTGTTCAAAATTACTTCTATTATTAAGATTCTGCCATCTTCATCATTATATATATGTTTTGTTGGAATTTCCTCATTAATATATGCTACTACTCCTGCTTTTTTTTGTTGTGAGAGCGCTGCAAACATTTTTCCCAGTTTGGAGCAATTTAGTAAACGTTGGTGCTGTTTTTTAATATGCACTTCTTGCAGGATTATTATGTCTAAATTCATCTTGCCCAATTTATTTAGACATTTTTTCCTCTTCAGTGGGGAGCTAAAACCATTAACGTTCAGGGATATAATCTCAATTCCTTCTTTTGCCTCTTTATCTATATTTAGATCTTGTTACTATTGTTGGTCTAGACTCTTTAGCTTGTACTTCTCTTTCCACTGGCATCCTTGTTGATCTAACCTCTTTGGTTGCTTTAGGTCTATCCTCATCGTATTTCCCATTGTCTTTTTCAATCTCTATATCATCGCCACTCCCAATTCCCTTCTCTTTAATTTGTAGTTCCTTTCCTTCTGTGGGCTGTGGCGGGATCTCACCTTCTTCTCTTGCCTGTCTTTCAAATATTTCCTCCTCACTTCCAAAATTTTGCCTATAGAATTCCTCTACTTTGTCTATTGTATCCAGCCGAAACCTCTTTTCCTGCCACACGACCATAATCCCTTCCGGTACCAACCATCTAAAATTAATATTTTTCCTTATCAATTTAGAGGTTATTTGTTGGTAAGGTCTTCTCATATCTCTCACCCTTCTTGGTACTTGCTTAAGCACAATTAGCTGTCTGCCTTGATATTCCAGTGGGTCGTCTCTGGTCCTAAATAATATTTCATCTCGGACAGATTTTTTAACAAATCTAATATGGACCTCTCTGGGGAGGTTGTGCCATCTTGCGTAGTTCGTGTGAATTCTATAAGTCTCATCGATCTCACTCTCCATATCCTCTTTAGTAGTCCCCAGGGCCCTTGCCAAAATATCTGTCACCATTATTGGTAAATCTTCACCCTTCGTTTCTCTAATATTTTGGATCCGTAGGTAGTAGGCAGCCTTCTCTACTTCCAGAGAAATAACTGTCAATTCTAATTCCCTGTTAGCCTGAACTAATCTCTTGTTCATTTCGTCTACTCTCAATTCTTCTTTTCCCATTCTTTCTTCCATTTCCTGTAATTTTTGTTCGTTTTTCATAATCTGTTGCTGAAAACACTCAAATTTCCCATCCATAGACCTCATCTTTTCCTTGAGTTCCCCTGTATTTCTCACTTCCCCTATCTCTTTTTTTAAGTCTTCATGATTTTTACACATCACCTCTTGCATTGATTGCAACATTAGTTGTAAATTTTTAAATGAATTTGCTCTGCCTCTTTGTGTCACCTCTTCCAAGGATCTTTGCCTAGCTGGACTTGGTTCCATTGGTGAGGTATGTGTTGTCTGCTTCTTCCCTACTCCAACTCTCGTAAGATTAGGGATGCTTGTCATCTTTCTCAACTCTGCAAACCAGCCACCCCACTTATTTACAGTCACTCCGTTTCTCTCCAGAGTATCTAAATTGTCTATATTAAAGCTAAATATATTGTGCTTTATGTATAATAGTAACTTATTAATTAAATATATTGAATACAATTATATACTTAACCCTGAATATCAATATATGTAACAAAAATCAATATTCACAATAAGCTTATCAGTAAATATAGTCCCAAGTCAATTTTTGATTAAAGGCTAGAATCCATCATTTCAAAAACTTCAATGGTTATATATTTTCCTTATAGTCCCTTATAGTATCTTTTAGGTTTTGAGATCAAGAAAAGAGATTTTATACTGCTTTCTGGTTTATACTTACAACCAAAACTAAGTATGTTTTAAGTCACAAGTTTGTTGTTTCCTCTTGTCTTCTTTCCCCTCCTTCCTCTCCACTTTCCCTTCTGCGTTGTTCTCAATTCAACCAGCAGGTGTCTCTCTTGCTCTTGTTTCTAATGCTCAGTCTACAGTCTCAGGGCAAAATGTCTGCTTCCTTAGCTTCTTCCGCGCTTTCACTCCGTGCTTGAACAAAGACTTTGCCTCTCGAAGTTAAACTTCCCTTATAGAAAGGGGGGGAGGAGAGAACGAAAGAAAGAAAGGGGGGAAAAAAAGAAAGAAGAAAGAAGGCAAAGAAAACTCCTCATCAATTTGAAGTTCTCCAACAAGTGAAATTGCACCAATGCAGGCAACCCTTCTATGCCTGAACTTTGTTTTCGCCGCTAGTAAAAGAGTGAGGAGGGAAGCTCCTCTCCTCTTATTCTTCTGGGCTCCTTGGATCGTCCTTTCCAGGAAACCTCCGGCAGGTTCTTTCACCGGATCACTCCTACTAAGACGTCAGGATTATTTTGACTGGCTCTGTCACGTCTCTATCCTGCTAAATCACCGCTGTTGTCGGTCAGCTGTCGACTGTCATTTCTTCGCGGCCATTAAGGGCCGTCACCTTCGCTCGGCTTTCTAAGGCTTTTCCTGAGTCCGCTGATCTTGGCCGCCGCCAGAGATCGCTCCTCAGGGCGCCTCTTGATTTCGGATCACCCTCCAATAAATCCAGGACCTCGAAGAGTCCGTCAAACGGTCGAAAGCGAATGTAGACGTTCCGGAGAATCGTCCAACACACCCGTTCTTCTTGACAACTGGCCCCGCCCCCTCCATTTTATGACTTTTCTTGACACAGTTGTTAAGTGGATCACTGCAGTTATTTTGCTAGTAACACAGTTGTAAAGTGAATCTGGCTTCCCCATTGACTTTGTCAAAAGATTGCAAAAGGTGATCACCCCACGCCGGGATATTGCAACCTTCATAAATACAGACCAGTTGCCAAGTGTCTGAATTTTGATCACATGATGGGAATGCCGCCATGGTTGTAACTATGAAAAACAGTCATAAGTCATTTTTTTCAATGCTTTGTAACTTTGACTGGTCACTAAATGAATGGTTATAAGTCAAGGACTACCTGTAATCTCCCAGGGTCTGAGAGTAATACAATCAGCATGTGTACCTGTAATGCATGCTCCATCCCTTTTTCATTAGTACATTGTACACATGTCCCAAAGGGCAAAGCTTGTGAATGTGATGCTGCAGCTCTTCTTTTCCTTTACTCCATGCATCATGTGGGGGTGGGAGCATGTTAGCAAGATGGAAACATAGAAGGAATATGTGCTAATTGGGACAACCCAAAGGTGCTTTTTCACAAGGCAACTGGACCTTCTTATTTTTCTTTGAAGACATTTCACTTCTCATCCAAAAAGCTTCTTCAGCTCTGACTGGGGAATGGAAGGATTTATATTCCTTGAAGATAGCTGGTCATTTGCATTCCTTTAGAGCAGGGGTGTCGTGACGTATTGCGACTTTTTTTCCATTGCCGGCAATGGGGTGGGCGCAGAGGTGGGATTCAAATATGTGAACAACTGGTTCTCTGTGTGGATGCCACTTCCGGAAGTCCGTTCTGGGTCTGGGCAACAAAAAATTAGCTACCGGTTCTGCTGAACTGGTGCGGACCAGCTGAATTTCGCCATGACACATCCGGCCTGCAGGCCAGCAGTTTAACACCCCTGCTTTAGGGAGTCGTTGAGGCCACCTGGAGGTTTATCTGTGTCCTCAGGGTCACTTGAGTAGTGCAAATGGCTGTGGAGCCTTCTTGGAACTGCTGAAAGGACTGTGATGTAGCTTGGAGATAGATGATGTCTTATCCCTCCCCCTCTGTTGAGAGAGGGCTGTTCAATTTTGACATAGATGGCCCTTTGAACCCTCTTTCAAACCAGTGGTCCTCTCTGTCCAAAAGACAAAAACAGGACCCAAAAACCAATAATCAAGGCTCAACGCAAAAATTATTTATTCAATGCATACCGGAGGAATTCCCTCCAGAAAATAATGGGCAGGACTCCTAGAGACAAAAGGATGCACTCGTATTTATACATTTTAAGAAAGGAGGAGAAGATGATACAGTCATAAATATGCATGTGGGAAGTCAGCCCCCCAGAGAAGGAAATATTAAAAGGGCAGAAAAATATATTTTCTCAAAGGATCTTAAAGAGACAGAAAAGCATGCCCAGTTTTCTTAATAGCCCCAAGTCTCCCTCCCCCAAGCAGAAACCAGCTCTGTAGAAATGCAGATGTAAATAATCCAGGAAGGTTGGAGGCCCCCAGCTAGAAGATTAAGAAGACAAAGACACCTAAAATCTACATACTCCACCCAAACTCTAAGACAGGACATAATAGGATTAACCCACAGATACCAAAGGGGCACTCAGGTCAAAGTTCATGCCACAGGAACAACTCCAAACAAAAGGCTCCAGAGGGTATAAAGACCTACATGTGCTCACTCTCTTTTCTTCCAGAGCCATCTTTCTGTCTGGCTCTCCTCTTCAATAAACTGCAATCTTCTTTCTAAATTAGTCGCCATGTTGTTTATTCCCAGCTTGGACTGAACCATGATGAAGACTTTTCCTTCAACAGTAATAAACCATGAATATTCATAATTAGCAAACTTCATCGCCCCTCCACTGTTACAATTCTCAAGAACAGGGGTGTCTGCCAGCCCACGGGCCGGATGCGTCACGCCAAAACCGCGCCCACCTCATTGCCGGGAATGGGAAAAAAGTCACGATACGTCACGACACATCACGTGATGTCGTGAGTGTGACCCCCATGCTCAAGAAGGAGTTATTTGATTCCACAATCATGACATCACGCACAGGCCTCATAGCAGCGAAGCTCATAGAAGCCACTGATAGCATTGGAAACTGCATAGATTGATCACATGGTTTATAAATTCAAGTATTTTGATGCTGCTGCCAATTATTACTCCTAATTATTTTTTCTTCTTTGAAAAAGGAGTCTCTAAACCATCGCCTGATGCCTCACCCAGCAGTTTTTTCGAGAAAGAATTTTCCCAAGGTGGATTCAGCTCCCTTCTTACACCAGTGAGTAGATAGCATGTACAACAGTAATTTGTATCCTTTGTGAAAATATAAGGCTTAGTCATATTTAAAAAGAAAAGAGGCTAAAAAAGCAGAGACTTGGGATTTTAAGGCATGGTGTGGATGTTTTAAGCACCCATTCTGACCTATAGTGCTTCTCTAAATCCAAAGGGCAAAAAAAAAAAAAAAGGGGGGGGGGGAAAGAAGTTTGAAAATTTTTCTGACTGTTTTCATAGCTGAAAGTCACAGGAGACCCTGATTTGTTTACCACTATTTTAGGGAATAAAACCATCCCCTTTTTTTAAAAAAAAATCCTGCAGTAGGCTGCTTTGAACCTATAGGAGAGAGTAAGAAATAAGTTATTAAAACCTGCACGTAGTTTCCTTGTGGGTGGGGGAATGGAGATTTATTTACTTATTTATTTTTCACATTTTTGAACCACCCCTCATCCTCCGAGAGGGAGTCTGGGTGCCATACAATTAAAAAATGCCCATCTCTTTCACATTTCTCCTGAATTTTTCTGGTACCAGTAGTCCTTGACTTACAACAGTTCATTTAGTGACCGTTCGAAATTACAAGGGCACTGAAAAAAGTGATTTAGGACCATTTTTCACACTTAGGACAGTTGCAACATCCCCGTGGTCACGTGATCAAAATTCAGATGCTTGGCAACTGGTTGATATTTATGACAGTTGCAGTGCCCCGGGTGTTGTGATCATTTTTTGCTACCTTCTGACAAGCTAAGTCAATGGGGAAGCCAGATTCACTTAAGAACCATTTTACTAACTTAACAACTGCAGTGATTCACTTAACAATTGTGGGAAGAAAGGTCGTAAAATGGGGCAAAACTCACTTAAGAAATTCTCACCTAGCAACAAAAATTTGAGCTCAGTTGTGATCGTAAATTGAGGACTACTTGTACTTGGTGAAAAGGCTACATGTATGTATTAGGATTTATTCTAACTGGCTCATAGTTGACTCTGCTTTCCATCCTTCTGAGGTCAGTAAAATGAGGACCCAGATTGTTGGGGGCCATATGCTGACTCTGCAAACAGCTAAGAGAGGGCTGTAAAGCACTTTGAAGCGGCATATAAGTCTAAGTGCTATTGCTAGATGGCTTGTCCCTCTTTCATCTCTTCCTTGTTTGCTTTCCTCTTCAGGAGCATGCAGTGACTGGAGCTGTCGGTGCTTATAGCTGGACTGGAGGTTTAGAAGAAGCATCCTTTGGAGAACCTCCTCAGATCAAATTCCTGAATGTCAGCATCAATGAGTCGTATATAGGTGAGTGATGGAGGCAGGTCTTATTCTCCACCCTTTGCCCCAAAGTGCTAAATTGGCCAAGTCCAAGAACCACAGGTTGTTTCTTCTCTTTGCTGGACAGGTTATTCTGTGGCTTTAGCTTGCTTTCACCAAAGGACCTTCTACATCACTGGAGCGCCTCGGTACCAGTACGTTGGCCAAGTCCTGGTCTTTGAAAGCAAGAGTGGAAGCTTAATAGGGAATATTCAGGGTCAACAGGTAAGGGAGGATAGGAAATGGAATGCAGATCAGCCTCTATTGTCATGGTGGAGGAATTGTAAAACTTCATAGGATTTTTTGTTTTGCATCAAGAATAGGGTTTCATAGTCTAAATCAGGGGTCTTCAAACTTGGCCCTTTTATGACTTGTGGACTTCAACTCCCAGAATTCCTCAGCCAGCAGGGCGGGTATTACGGAGACCTGGCTGGGCCAAGAGGGGGGGTGCCCCTCGTTGAAATGTGCCCGCCAGGTTACCGTGCATTTCACCAGCCGAGAGCCCAGGGTCGGGGTGGGGGGGGTGGCGGTTATTATTAAGGAAGGCCTGGACCCAAGAGAGACCACTGTGCCGCAGACTGCTGGTTGTGAATCCCTAGGTGTGAAGTGGGGTCATGGGAGGCAGCAGGGCGTGCTGATTGTATACCTGGCTCCCCGCTATGTATCAGCAGCCCTACCCGAGCTTCTCAGTGTGATAGCCGAGATGGCGATTGAGACCCCCAGACTTAGTCATGGGGGATTTAAATCTGCCATCGGTAGGTGAAGCATCTGAGGTGGCTCGGGAGTTCATGGCCTCCATGACGGCCATGGACCTGACCCAATTAGTTGATGTCCCTACCCACACCGGAGGACACACACGACTGTTTTTGCCTCCGGCCAGTGGTTGAGTGATCATGGTTTAGGGGAAATAGTCGTTGAGCCCCTGTCATGGTCAGATCACTCTCTCCTTCGGCTGGCCTTTCCTACCGCTACGCCCCACCGCGGGGAGGCGGAACCAGAAGTGATAAAATGGTTCCGCCCCAGGCACCTGATGGACCCTGAGAGGTTCCAGACAGAGCTTGAGCCAATACCCGAGACCTTGACCCGCAGCTCGACTGAGGACCTGGTGGCCGCCTGGAATGGTGCGGCCGCGGGGGCCCTGGACTGGGTCGTGCCTTTGCGGCCCCTCACCCGATGCCGGTCTACCTTGGCTCCTTGGTTCTCTGAGGAGCTGAGGGTGATGAAGCGTCGGAAGAGATGCCTAGAGGGTAATTGGAGGGCCACCCGCTCCAAATCCGATCGGAAACTGGTAAAGTCCCATTTAAGGACTTACCTAGTGGCGATAAGAGTGGCGAAACGAAACTATTTCTCCGCTCTTATCGCGTCTGCAGGTAACCGATCTGCCGCCCTGTTTAGGGTGTCCCGCTCCCTCCTTCATCAGAGGGTCCGGGACGTCCCTTTGCAGGGTCGGGCAGAGGAATTTGGGTGTTACCTGCATGACAAAATCGGATCCGGGCTGGGTTAGCCTCCGATTGGACTAGTTCAGACGGGCCAATGGAGGCAGGTCTTGAGTCCACTTTGTGGGAAGAGTTTGATCCTGTGACTCCCGAGGACATGGACAGGATGCTGGGACGGCTGAACACCACCACATGTCTACTGGACCCGTGTCCCTCCTGGCTGGTACTGGCCTCCCGGGAGGTTACACGAGGCTGGCTCC